AAGCGAAAACTCGTGCAGATGTTCGTTTGTCAAGCGAGTTGTAAATGTTCAACTCAGATTTGAATCCAGTTCTGTGGAAAACAGGCAACAGGTGAGGCTGAGAAAAAAGGTTTTATTGAAAGAGCTTTTAAGTGACTTTTATCAAGTTTACAGATGTGAAGACATTTTTGATAACGAGGAGAAAGTAAATAAAGTAAATACTTGGTTTGTGTGTAGAATCAAACGAACAGCTTCAGCTGAAGCTGATGGACTCTGGTTCCTCTGTAGAGTCACAACCTTTGAGCTTTTTTCCTCCTTTGCTGTCTGGGTCAGTGTAAACATCTCTGCTGCTGGTTTGGTCGTTCTGGTGCTGAGGTGGAAGCTCTCAGCTGGGTTTTGTGTCGTCGTCTCCTTCCACGACTTCAAAGTGTCGCCTGATCTCCCTGCAGGTCCATCAGTCGACGTCTGGGCTCGGAGGTTTTCCAGAAGCTCTACAAGAACCTGAAGGAGGTCAGACGACGCCGACGAGACGCCGACGGAGAAGACGAGGCTCCGAACCCGCAGGACGGACCTAACGATGGCTTCCAGGTGGACCAGCTGCTGTTCTATGAGGAGGAGCTGCAGAGGCTGAAGCAGGACGACAGAACCAGCTGAACACAAACACCGTCGCAGGTACGAGTTCAAAATCAGATCAGCTGTAAGAACATCTGAAGACTGAGCAGCTCCATCCCTGTTGGAGGAAGATGAGACGTACGACAGTCGCCTGAGCTCCTGTAAAGCCACGTTCATCACTCATGTCTGGAACTTTCTGAAGACCTAAAGGTTCCTTCTGCCCGATGTTATCTGTGTTTCCTCCGAGGTCTAAATCTGCAGAGAACATCTCCACTGATAGATCATGATTTGACTTTTCCACCCCGTCTTTGTTCCAGCGTGCTCTGGATCAGCCTCACTAACGAGCACTTCTCTTTGTCCTACTTTTGCATTGACTTGTGACTTCAAACCTCATATTTGCAAAATGTTTTCATCCCAAAGTGTCTGACTTTAGCCTCCAGTCCTCTCCTGCTGGTCGTCTCATTTCACTGCTGAACTTTACTGCACACCTGCTCAGCACCAGACGCTGCAATTTACAGATGTTCCCTAAATGCCTCGTGTGCAAGACGCAAATAAGACGTTCTAATGTCAGAGTAACAGCGACAGAAGAATTTAGCTTCTTTTAATCACTTTAATGACACGTTTGATCATTTTAATGGTGGTTTAGGGACCAATTAGAACACTGATNGGCTCAAACATTTCTGACATCTCCAGACGGTTCTGTGGGTCCCTGTTGGAAGCTGAAGCTGAACGCAGAGCTGCTGACGAACCTCCTTCTGTGGAAGCCTGGAATCCAACACAGAGCATCTGCACACGTGTGATGCTGTTGCCACAGCAACAAGCTGAGCCTAATTGAAGACGGGTTCTCCATTTGATCTAACACCCAATCGGACGACCCCCACCTGCAGCCAATCAGAGCAGAGAAGTGGAGTTTAACCTGATTTAGATTTCGCCTCCATCCCTGTTCAGGCTTCTCTTTGTGCTCCCAGAGCTGCTGTAACATCCAGAACACTTGTGGAAGTTCTGCTCCGTTAACACGTTCCTGCTCCATCCGTCACGAGCTGAATGTCGACACTGAGTCCAAAAGGAGACCCTCAGATATAAATTTGAATTTAGGAAATAAGTCGTATGGACATAAATCTGGTGAGCAGGATGTTGCAGCTCGTAGTTTATTCTTATATCCATCTTTGACTACAGGAACACTGAGAGGCAGTCAGGACATTTTACACACACATGTATGAAGGAAGGACTTGTTTTGTTTATTTTTTAGAAAATAAGGACATTTTTGGAAAGTAGGAACCTTTTTAATACTAAACACACTTTAGGAGAAGTTTTTTTGTCAAGTGTTATAAGCTCACTTTGGAAAATATGTATATTAAATACAGACATTTTTGTAAATTGTAAGAAGATTCCAGAATGTCGTGTCGTTTTATTTGAAAGTTAGTGATAATTAAGAAGAGATGATGTTTTAGAGGACATTTTTGGAAATTAATTTAAAGAGAGCAACACTTCAGACAAATTAAAGATAGTTTTTGAACATTAAAGGCGACTTTACAGTGAATTAAGTTATAAAAAGACGTTCTGAGTGAGTGAGTGAGGACAGTGACTCAACTTCTGCAAACTGAGGACAGTTTTTAGAACCATGAGCGTCAGAATGAGGCTTTAAGTCCGGCTGAAGGTGGACATGAAGACGCTTCACACAGAGCCGACAGGCCGAGTTCTTCCTCTGGCTCGGATTCGTCTCCTGCATCCACAATGAGCCTGCAGAGTCTGTCAGGTGACCTGCTGTCTGTCACAACACCTGCTCACCTGCTGACAGCAGCACAAACACAGCAAACACCTGTGACGGACCGAACCAACAACCTGTGACGGACCGAACCCAACAGGACGGGAGCCGCCGTCCAGACTGTCCGTCACTGCAGCTGCCTGAGGAGGAGGAGGAGGATGATGGAGATTCATGGAAACATCTTGTTTTTTTTATATATATCAGCAGTGAATATTAACATTTTTTTACCAAAAACAGTTTCCATGAGTTTAGAATAATCCTCTTTGGGAGAATATCGTCAAGTTCTGAATCTTCATCTGACGAGAGCTGTGCCAGTCAGAACC